ACGTGGGCCTCTCACTGTTGTGGCCTCTCCCGTTGCGGAGCACAGGCCCCGGACGCGCAGGCTCAGCGGCCATGGCTCACGGGCCCAGCCGCTCCGTGGCATGTGGGATCTTCCTGAACCGGGGCACGAACCCGTGTCCCCTGCATCGGCAGGTGGACTCTCAACCACTGCGCCACCAGGGAAGCCCTCTAATATTTTTTGCTTTTATAAAAGGTGGCCTCTTTCAACACTATAGTCTCAGAGTAGTAACATTTTCTGGGTTATTTGTTGAAATGTTCATCACTTGCTCCATAGTTGTGGAATTACTGTTTGAAGGCTTAGGAAGGGGCTGTTGGAACATAGAACGCTTAAGCAGGACTGATAGGATTGTTCCAACAGCATGATTAGGGCTATGTACCCTCCCAGAATGTAAAAGGGTTAGAAGGAGGTAGAAAGCTGTGACAAAGGTAAATTAGTTTTAATAATTGCTTACTTCCAGTCTTCTTCCCAAGAATAGGAAGGAAATTCATCTTCTATGTGACACAAGCCCCAGTCTCAGGACCCAGAACTCAAGCATTTAATGTTATATAGTTCATCTACATCAAGGGTCACTTACGTGCTTATGGATTAAACTAAAAACTTAGCCTCCATTTATAAAGTTTCCCCCAAATGGACTTACAGTCTTTTGGAGTGCAACCTTTTTGTCAACTGGAGAAAGTGTAATAGCTGTCTTTATGAGTGGGCATTTAGCTAATATTAAAATTTTGGTTATTTTCACCACAATTTAGGCATATCTATGTATATCTATAGTCACAGTTGTTTTTTTGTGTGAAATATGTTCCCCCGTTTCCTATGTATTTCACAGTTGTTAGGCAACAAACTTACTTTTAAGGTTAACAATAGTAACAGAAATCCCAATTTTATAGTTTGGTTTAAGATATTTTAATGTGGACAAGATTTCTGTTCGAACGTCCTTTGTGAAATTCTTAGGTCTTGGATTATGGTTACTTGTCTATTGGTCCGGTGCAAATTGACACAAATTAATTTAAAATCAGTCCTTTCATTTTAAAGATGAGAAAATTTGAGACCGGAGAGGCGATGACTTTCTTAACCAAGGAAGAATTTAGAACCTAGATTTTCTGATTTTTAGTCCACTAGGTTTTCTTTTACTCCATGCTGTCTCTTTATGACATAACCGCAT